CAACCACTAGCTTTGGATTGAAATGACTACACATAATTGAATTGTACCTCCTCCATCAACATTGTGAAATGGTTCAGAGAGTACACCTTACGACGTGCGCACACCGGCCCGTTCCGCAGCTATCGGACGAGCAGGCTAGAAACCCGCCACGATGATCGCAAGTACGATCTGCCCGTCCAACGGCAGATCGTACGGGCTTTCAATAAGCATACGACCATCGCAAGACAAAAGTCTGGTGATGGTTGTAAGGTGTATGGGCACCTTTAGAGTGGTAGGATGACTTGACTGATTTAGGGGTTTTTTTCTATTAAAAGCTGGTGAAAGTGATATTAAAAGGTCAAAAGTTTTTTTTCAGCTATTTCAAATACTAACGCAATCACTTACAATGTTCTCCTTGATGTATAACATTTTATCTTCCTTCAGAATCAGCTGGTCCCCTGAGCACTGGTCCCGATATCCTGTTTTAGGGTGGCTCCTTTCCCGTGCAGGGTCCTATGGCGCCAGTAAGTTGTGGCACAGCAAGGCAAGCGCACCCCTGCTCCCCTCTCCAAACTAATAGATGGTCAGCTGCTGGAGACTGTGACCTCATACTGGACAGCAAGTTCAGGGATGCCGAGCTGACAGAGTTGGAGCCAGCGGTTTGAAGACATGACGACTAAGTTCTTGGAGCAAAATGTAAAGAAATACTTTGCTGGGCAATATAGATTTGGTTTTTCTTGATTCAATATTGAAAAGACATTTGAGAGTTTAATACTATTTTAGGCTGCCTGAAAATTGCCATGCCTGTGCCAGCATTAGGCAGAAGATGTTTGAATTGAATGGTTTTGTCAAGAAGCCTATTCCAGGAAGTCTGCATAAGTGTCTGCCAGTGCACATGTGCCCGATCTGCAATGGCAGCTGCCATATTTCCCTCAGTACAACTGATGATGTGTGTAGATGAGAGGCCTGCTTGAAGCATTCATGGCAAGCAGCCGCACTGAACGCACAGCTGTTGGTGTGCACTGGGACAATCAATGCTGATACTCTGATCCAGACGCACTATCATGTTTACTTTTTTTTATGTTTAGAACTTTATTAACATGTCACAAATGACATTTCATTCAGTTCTCCCAGCCACAGCCCAATGCAATGCAGTTGTAGTGAATGCCGTATTTTTTCCAGTGCACACTACTACAGTGTAATGCTGGGAACTGGGCTGACTGTAAACAAGGCTCGCAGTGAAGTCGAAAGTTCCTGATCCGGGTCTTTCTTCCAGGCCAGTGACTCAGAGTATTAAAGTCATTGGATCACCATGGTAGCCGGACAACTAGCATTTTCAGGACGCCAGCAATGGCAGCCGCCATGTTCCCCTCAGTAAAATGATAATGTGTGTAGATGAGAGGCCTGCTTAAAGCATTCACGGCAACCATTTGCTCTGAATGCACAGCTACTGGTTGGCGCTGGAAGAATCAGTGCTGATGCGCTGATCCAGGCGCATTGTGCCGTTTACTTTTTTTATTTTTAGAACTTTATTAACATGTCACAAATGACATTTTATAGCGTTTTACCAGCCCAGTGCAGAGCAATGCAGTTGTAGTGAATGCCATCTTTTTTTCCAGTGCACACTACTACAGTGTAATGATGTGCCCAAGCCCGTGCAAAACTGTGACTGATACCCTCCCGACCCATTCAGGTACCTGCCCAACAGCTACACACCACGAAGTGGTGGGGAATGCCCCTGCTGCAACTGATTGTGCTGGGAGGGTATCAGTCGCAGTTTTGTGCGGATGAACTAAGGGGAACTGGGTTCACACCAAGCCCCTGCACATCATATACACACACACACACACACACACACACACACACACACACCAATATTAACATGTCCAGGTTTCAAGTATGGCTTAAACATATAGCTAAGGCACCACATAGAACAGGGGTAGGCAACTCCGGCCCTCCAGCTGTGCTATAACTACAAATCCCATCCTGCATCTTCCTCCGGGAGTCATGCCTGTAACTGTCAGTCTTGCAATACCTCATGGGACTTGTAGTTCCACAACAGCTGGAGGACTGGAGTTGCCCACCCCTGACATAGAATATACCTTCCTATTATTGTTGAGCTTGATGTAGTCATAGTTATGGACGTCCACATGCAGAGGCAGCACAAGTCCCAGCATGCCTCCTGATCTGCTGGGACTTGTCTTATTACACCCGGGGTGAACATGCTGCTCCCGTCCCCCATGTATGATTACAGACACCTTTTTAAACAAGGTAATGCAAGATGATGTGTAAAGTGCAGACTTCTACAGCAGTCAGCCAGAAATACCCTCCGGGGGGGGGGGGGAATTTACTAAGACTGGAGAAGAGAAAACTTGGAGCAGTTACCCATGGCAACCAAGCAGACCCTATCATTCACTCTCAAAGCTCAACTGAACAAGCAGATTGGTTACCATACACAGGTGCTCCAGTTTTACGCCTCCTCCCCCCCATGTCTAGTAAATTGATATCTGTTTGCTATGGGTTACTGCACAATCTATGACATCTGTGTCCAGGACTACTTCTCTTCCCCGTGCACAGCTCATACTCATCATGGCACACTTCACACAGCAGACAAAAGATGCTCGATGCAGCCTGCACCTCCCAGATTTGTGATGAGGATGGGGATGGGGATGATGGCAGGCACCCCCTTCTCTTTCCTCACCAGGGTCTTGGCCACGTTGCCTCTTTGGGTGATGTTCTTGCTGTGCTTTTCATTAGCCATTCGGATCCTCTGCTTGGCCACCATGGTTTGTAGGAGAGGCTCTCCGGTGAGAGCACAGAGTGGCGATCCCCTGCACGTTAGCCAAACACCATGAACAGCTCACACAGCCCAGCTGTCAAGAGGCGTCATGACGTCAGCGGCACCTGTGCCTCACTCCTCCTGTCTGTGTCCCTCCATCCTCCTCACTAAGGTACATGCTGGAGTGGAGGTCCCCACAGGGTGGAAGTGACGTCAGGAGAAGGGAGGAGGAAGACAGATCGGGGGGGATTTATCACTGTCTGCTTCAGTACTAGGCTTCTCATTTACACGGATCAACACCTGTCGTGTCATGGCTGGCACCCCGGCATCCCTGTGTACGTGCACTCCATACCTGGCTGCTCCGCTCTGTTATCCACACATTGCTGCATGCATTCTGCGTGAATTACTAAAGGCACATAGGCTGTTCAGGGGATAATGAGGTGCACATTCTCTTTGTATAGAATACCAGACCATGGGTGAACCTTTTATCAGGAGGCCCCCCTTCATATCAGGAGCCTCCCTTTCACACCAGGAGCCCATTTTTCACATCAGGAGCCCATCTTCATATCAGGTGCCCCCCTTCATATCAGGAGCCCCCCTTTCACATCAGGAGCCCATCTTCATATCAGGAGCCCCCTTCATATCAGGAGCCCATATTAATATCAGGAGCACCCCCTTTCACATCAGGAGCCCATCTTTCACACCAGGAGCCCCCCTTTTCACATCAGGAGCCTATCTTTATATCAGTAGTGTCCCTTTCACATCAGGAGCCCCCCTTTAACATCAGGAACCCCCCTTCATATCAATCGACCCCCTTCAACATCAGGAGTCCCCTTCATATCAGAAACCCTCCTTCTTATCAGGATCCCACCTTTATATTAGGAACCCCCACACCCCCCTCTTATCAGGAGCCCATCTTTATATCAGGAGCCCCCCTTCTCATCAGGGGCAGCTAGTGAACAATGTGGATTTTTATTAGGGACCAGTTATAAGTACGCTCATCTAAAGGGATGCTAGGGAGGCCCATTCCTTTATAGTACCATATTTATGTGCCTTCTCTTCTTCACTTGCATCCCAGCACTTCATTTCTTGTCCCGGGGTCCTTCAGCAAAGCCAGCAGTGCTGGATGCCGTCGGTGCCATGATGATGGAGGAGCTATTTTGGTGCCATGATATCCAAGTATAAGTCAATACCTGGGAATGGGAAGCAAGCTGTCGGTTTCCATAGCAATGATACTCACTGGGAAGCACGCAATGAATGATAGATATGTGGGGTGCTGCGATTGGATGGTGAATGTCACCAGGGGTGTTATGATAGGTTAAGCACATTTGTGCTTGTTGTCCCTTTGAAACTTGAGTTCTTTTTCTTTTTTTTTACATATCTGGTAACATGCTGATGTCTATTGTGCACATTGATTTGGTTTTAGTGCCTGTTAACTAAACAGAGAGAGGAAGATCTATCAAAACTGGAGCACACAGAATCTAGAGCAGCTGGCCATGGCGACCAATCAGCTTCTATCTTTATTTTCAAAGCTTAACCGAACAACCTGAAGAGAGAAGCTGATTAATGAGGGGAATTTATCAAAATCTGGAGCAGATTTGCACTGCACCCAATCAGCTTATCTCTCTTTTTCAAATCTCACCTGAACAAACTGAAGAGAGATGCTGATTGGTTGCCATGGGCAAATGCTCCAGATTCTGTCTGCTCCAGTTTTGATAAATCCCCCCCTCTGTCTGCTCAAGTTTGTGACAGCTCTGGCCTGGGTGGTCAATAGCCAAGTACTGACACCTAACACCTAGGACAAAGTAGGTATTGGTGAAGCCTTGGACAGGGTCGTATTTCCATTTTGGGCACCTGTAGACATGAATGGAAATCTGTGTAGCCTGGGCTGGTGCCCTTGACTGCTGCAGGACCTGCCATCTTTGACATATGTAGAGAAGGACCCGGGCGTCGCATAAGGCTGCCCTAAATGCATGTCCGCATTAGATTGGCGTTTTACAGGAAGACCTACGTAGCGCCGGGGTCCTTTAGTTGCTGATGGTCTTGGAGCAGGAGGGTATATTTTGTGCAGAATGCACCCTCCTTGCTATTGCCGGCATTGTATCTTGAAACAACACCGGGAATTAGGCATTGAAGGTACCTGCACGGCACCCCTCTATGGAGTGCGTCTGTAGGCATGTGCCTAGTCTCTGCTTAATGGTAAATCCGGCCCTAGCCCTGGACTCAGACATACAGTATGTGTGATCTCCAGTCTCAAGAGGCAGCTCCCTATAATCCAGGTTATCCTATTGGTCCCCAAAGCAATCCAAAGACATGGGAAGGATGAGAGAGCCACATATACTGTATACAGGTGTATTAAACCTTGATAAAAAGTCAGTAGGTAGCCTATTGACATCTTATCAAGATTAATACATCTGTATTGGACCAACTGTATATTTGTGGCTTGCTCATCGCACTTGCTTTGGACTAAGACATAGAGGAAGGAGAGTGAGTCCAGGGCTCCTGCGTAGTAGTATAAGGTTTTTCTTTTTCCTCCAAACAGAGCAGCAGGGGAGAGAAGGAAAGGTGAGTATGAGCTGCAGCAGTGGCCAGCATTAAAGTAAACCTGTTGTTTTGTACGGCATGAGCAAGCCACCATTTCACCTTAAAGGAATGAGCTGTCACCTCTGATGACACCACAAGCTTGAGCAGGGTGCTGTAAAAAAACATACCAGCGTGGGGGGACAGCGGCCGGGAACATCGAGGCGGGTCTCTGTATCAGCTGGCTGCTGCTGGGTCCTCGCAGCTGAGGTAACGAAGGGAAGGGGGAGGAGTCCGGTGACGTCACGGACATCGACGTCACCGGACTCCTCCCCCTTCCCTTCGTTAGCCGACAGAGCCACTCGGGGAGGGGGGGAGGAGTCCGGTGACGTCGATGTCCGTGACGTCACCGGATCTCCGACGGAAGCCGGCGGAGAGGTGAGTACTTTGATCGATCAAAATTATTTTGATCGATCAAAGAAATAACGATTAATCGACGGATTAATCGTTAATTTCCGCACCCCTACTATAAACCATAATAAAAATTTGCTAGTACTTCTCATAAAATGTGTACAAATAGAAAATCCTGTGTTAAATCTCACAAGTAATGTACAACTCCCTCTTTTGTTGTTTCTTTTTTCATTGATTACTGTCCCCCAGAGCAGTACCCGGACCCCCATACACCTTTTATGGCCAATAACTTGCATATAAGCACTCTTAAAGGGGACAATCTTTTTCGAAAGTTCGACCCCCGTTGACTTGCATTAGGTTCGAGTTCGCATTCAAACTTTTCGGCCGTTCGGGTGTTTGAATCCGAACCGAACACAGGGGTGTTCGGCCCATCACTACTCACAACCCACCTATGACCATCACGGGCAGGACATGTCTGTTCTATCTAGATAGTGAACATGTAATATTGTAGACCAGAAAAAACAGCGGAGGACACTTTTCCCAACCACCCCTCAGCCTGTACTCCCCTGTTCCCCAGAATCCAACTTGATTCCTCAATGGGCTGTAATACCTGGGCTGTAATACCCAGGTGTCAGAATCAATGTCCCATTTGGTGAACATAAGTTCCCTCAGAGGTTTTATCCTATAGAGCCTAGTAGTTGCTTGTTATACTGTCTACAAAAGGTACTGTATTTGTTGTTCAGCATTATGAATAATGAAGATATTTATTTCCTTTTAATTCCATTATATCTATGTGCGACAACTGCAAAAAAATAAAGAATTGGAATTGTGATCCTGTCAGTACACACAGACTGTGGGAACACACTTCTTTTGATGTCCTTTCTAATTCACGGAACTTCGGCCCCAAGATTTGGATCACTGTTAACGTTTGCTGTGTTACCTAAGTATCATTCTTTTCAATAGGTTACAAAACTACTTTGTGGGGAACAATTGTCTACTCTGAAATGGGGCAGATACATTTCTCAAGCCGACCTTCAGCGTGAAAGGGAAACAAAAAAAAGTGGGCACTATCCATTTACAGAGTTAAAGGTGCAAAACCTGACTCTTGAATCATTGATAAGGCGGGTTTCTTAGCAACCGCATTCAGCTAACAGTGATAATAGCAATATAAACTCAGCCACTTAGCCTGACTGTTCTGTGAAAACCTTGGCAGACCATTGTGCTTGAATATTTTATATCTTGTGTGTTGTGAGAACTACTTGCAGAACATAAACATAGTGGTGTTTGATCCCGCCAGTGCAAAATGAATTGTATTTTATTTCTGAGATTGCCAGAAATATACATGAACAAAAAATATTTTAATTTCAATGAATATTTTGATGAACGTTGAAAGGGTAGTTATGGGTGGATTACTACCCTTGACCTCTCTTAGCTCTTGTGGACACCACCAAAGAAACATTTGTACCTTGGTTCCCATTGGTACTCACCAGTGATTGCCATTACAAGGAGAACTCACCAGTGCTTTGTTACGCCTAGTGATAGTGCATTGGCCATGGCTTAGGAAAGGTGCAGAAAGGTGATGGGTAAGTTTCACAAAGGGTACCTGTCAGGAGTTCTGATGAGGTTGTATGCCATCTTACCTTGCAGCATGCCGTTCCCTGCACACCATGCCAAGCTTTGGGGCAGTGTGGGGAGTGAGGGATGCAACTTTAGCAGTAGAGTGATCCAGTCGCACCACCAACCCCTCCTCACTAATGCCCATTCGCAAAATGTCGTTTCAAATGATTTTTCAAAGAATACAAGGCATTCTGTGATTGGAGGAGGAGAGGAGGGGGCAGGCATGTGACATAATCTCTCCTCCTCCAATGTCACATCCTTCCCCCTTCTCTCCTCCTCCAATCACAGAATGCTTTGTATTCATTTATGCATTCATTCATTTCAACATTTATCCCAAAAAGGGGAAAAAAACTGGTGCTGTAACTGCTTAAAAAGTGTTAGCTTCTATTGAGATTTGTGTGTTAGTAAAGGCCATCTAACACTTTCCTCTCCACAGGGTGATCATGTTGTTGTCCACGGGTGACTCCATTGCTCCTCCATAGAGCGGAGTCACCCTGAAACAGAAAGTGTGTTACTGGCCATATTACCAGGTGAAAAACAAAGGAAAAAAGCCTAAAAAATTTAAACTAATACAGACACCTCATTTAAGTTTTGGTAAGATGTCATATATTAAATTTTTGTTTTTGGGTTTAGATACACTTCAAGTATATCTGC